GTATTAGAAGACACCGTTAGGGATGAAAGACAAAGGTTAGGGAAGAGATACGTTCTAGCTTAGTTGTCTCTCCCTTGGTAACAGTAGTTTGGCCCTCTAGGGAACATATCAAGTATTCAGAGCCTTATTCAGATGGTGTAAAGCCAGCCGAACTGCCTTTTTCAGACAGATCTCTTATGTAAGTATGTGATTTTCTGTCACTGTACTATCTGAGCATTTTGCAATCACATATATATACATCTTCACAACACCCCGAGGAGGTAGAAAAATGCAGCTATCCCTGTTTTAAAGATGGGGAACTGAAGTACTGAGAGATGAAGAAATGCACCTAAGGCCACTCAGGTCACTCTATGGCATCAGGGAACTGAACTGTTTAGTCACAAACTTGTGAACTAATAGCTTCTTTAGGGCTGGCTATGGGTGGGAGCCTGGTCAAACCAGCATGTCACCCTGGCTACTCCTGGCTGCTGCCACTTCCCCTAGTGTAATTCTTGTTATTGCAGCCAGTGTAAACAGGGCAGCATCAGGGCCAAGGCATACAGGGAGGTGGTAAAAAAGAGGTCTGATTTACTGCCCCCTTCCTTCCTGCACCCTGTGCAGCAGGCCTGGATTGGAGAAGTTAGCCTTTTGACTAGAAAGAGACAAGCAGAATGTTAGAGGGAAGAGGATGTGACAGGCTTTGAGGAGACTGAATTTCTGGGGCTCTGCCACTTATCCCTGTGCCCCCGTGATTTCACTAAAGAATTCTTAAGAAAGAGAGAGGCCCGATTCTTCATTATGGCCTAACTCAAGAATTACGGCTCTAAGAAATTGATTGGAGATCCCAGCTCTTCAGCCAGGGCGTCTTGATGAACAGTCTGTCCTAACTTTGACCACTACCCACCAACTTTCATGGGTGGATCAGGACAGAAGCAACCCAAAACCAGGCATAATGAAGCTCCGCTCTCCCAATTCTCCTACACTGCCATCCTCACCCGTATCTTTACCTTCGCATAGTCTATCCTTTCACATAGTCTGTCCTTTCCATTATCTTGAGGAGAAGGCAACTAGCATAGGAGGTAGTAGAATTGCTTTTGTCAGCTTTCTGTGGATGAAAAGTTCCCCTATGTAAGGGGAATTCTTCACTGACTGTCTCTGGACATTTTAAGATCACTTTGTACTACATAAATAGTACAAAACAGACTTAGCAGACAATCGAATTTAGCTGAAAAAATGTGTGAAATGCTGCTCAGGATCAAACCTTCACGTCGCTTGTTCTTAAGATGCAAATGGAACTTATAGCTCATGCATATTCCTTCTTTCTTTTTGTATTTCACTTTCACCACCAAGTGCAGCTGAAACACCATCTTCTGTGTAGGTATTATCTCATAAATAATATAGATAGAAAAGGAAGTTGCATGCAACTGAAAAAGCAACACTCTACTAAAGAAAAATGAAACTTTTTTTACTGGTATGCCTAATTTATATTCAAAATTTAAGGGCAAGTAAATAATTATCTGCATTTCAGTTTTGCTTATCACTAAAACTATTTTCAAGCACTTCTGAATGACACCTACCAACATAGCTAACATTAAAATAAAAATAAAACATTGAATGTTAAAGTGTAAATGACTTTGTATCTCAAAATTTTACGGAATAAACTATGTACAGGAATAAGTGTTTCAATGACTGTGGCCACATCTACATGAGATGCTTACTGTGCAGTTGTTACTATGCAGTCATTTAGTACTTATTTATACAAGTACTAAATGATTGCACAGTAACCAGAGTTACTGTGCAGGTGTGCCAAGAAATGGGTGTTATATGATGCTGACTACCCAGTAGCTTGTGACTACTGTGCAGTAGCGTTGTGTCACACTTCCTGCCATGTGACACTACTGTGCAGTAGTCACGGCAGTCAGCGTTTCATGTAGATGCAGCCTGTATGGCTCTAATGTCATTCAGTGTACTAGAGGTGGCTAACTGAGTAGATCATTTTGCCTTAAGTGCATAAATGAACTTGAACCTTATGCTGAAATAAGTGCATTGGCAGGATTCATTGAGCTCATTCACAAGAGTAAGGTGCTACTCCCTTAGAATCAAAAGTGCAGTGGTAAGTCATGACTCTACTATGTGGTCCTCCTTGTTCATACATTCCTTTGGGCAGATGTACTTACAATGGGCAAAAAAAATTGCATTTGTGTAATATCCCAAAAGTTACACTTGATTTACACTGGTTAAACCAGTGATTCTCAATCAGGGTTCTGTGAAACCCTGGAGTGTTTGAGATCCTTTTAAGGGTGCAATGGGGTGCTGCACAATATTAGCACTGTTAGATGTGAAAACACCCATATGATTCACAAGATAAACACAGGGATTTCAAATAAGAATCCATAAGTCTGACCTACTGTGATCTTTCTGATTACTTTGCAGCAAAACATTTGTTCTAATATTTTTCCATAGTCAAGAAACAAATGAAAGCTAAGGACTGGCATCTTCTGAGAGGTGTCTTGAATCTAAAAAGGTTGAGAACCACTGACTTAAAGGTTTAGAATCACCACAGATAGTTGTTCCTTTTCATGGAACGTCCGGACCTAACAGTTACACTTGTACTTTGTAACTTGCATAAGTTCCAAATCTGTATATTTGTCGTACCAGATGGGTCTTCCTTATATAATGGTCCATTCAAAAACAATCATGAGCTATTTATGAGAAAAATATTTCTGTAGAGAGCCTCAGCTTGTTCTTTGTTCTGTTTTTTTGGACTCTGAAATCAGAATGAAATAAAGATAATTTTTATTTTTATGCTACCTGTATGGTGAAAACTGTTACTGGTAGTACCAAAGCAAAGCAAAAGGGCTGCAAAGTCAAAGACTACTCAATAATTGTGAATGTTTGATGACTTGCCACCTTTTGTCTTAGAGGCAAAATAAGAGGCAAAGTTATAATATATGCCTACTCGGTATCACAATTTTTTTTCCTTAGCTTTATTCGTAGTTGAAGTTCCCCAGGAACTATACACTGTAGAATATGGAAGCAACGTCACCATGGAATGCAGGTTTCCAGTGAATGGGGAGTTAAATCTAAAACTCTTAAGTGTTGCTTGGGAGCAAAAAGAGCAAAAAGAGCAGGAATCCAAAGAGGTTTACACTCTTCACAAGGGAGAGGAAATCCTTAAATCCCAACACAGCTCCTACCAGGGAAGAGCAACATTGTTACCTGATCAGTTGAAATTGGGACGCTCTGTGCTTCAAATCATGGATGTCAAGCTCACGGATGCAGGGTCTTACCGCTGTCTCATCGACTACCAAGGAGCTGATTACAAATACGTTATTTTGAAAGTAAAAGGTTAGTGACCAGACTGTCGCACATGGATAGCGGGTTAATTAAAAGTTTGGTTTTTTACATGCAAAAATCAGCATTAAACTTCTCCTTCTGCTACAAAGTTCTTTGGCTCAACCCATGGATACACCAGGACATCACTTGTGGTAGCTGGTTGAGAGAGAGAGACAGAGAGATAGTAAAGGTGACCTTTTTGCCACCTTTCCTTGACTTCTGAAGCCTGCTTTGATCTCAGTACTACTTGGAGCAGCCATCTATTAACCATTTAAATAGCTGGGCACTCCATAAGTGATTGTCCCTGTTGGAGTAGGCCCTTGTTGTCTTATGTGTTTCTAGCAGCCTAATATATATTAATAACATATATAAGCACTGGTAAGCAATAACTGGCACCAATTTAACTAAGGCACTAATTTAACTATTTGCACCAAGGCACTTGTTACTAATCATGCCATGGCAATGAGCTTGCAAGGGAGAAACTTTTCTTGTGTAGTCATGGAGATGCTAGTGGTCCTTTGCCTTGGGCTTGCAAGGACTGACTCTGTTTCATTCCAATATGATGATAATGCCACAGCTGTCTCTTACGTGACATCACTCAAACATTCTAAATGTCCATTTTTCTCCCAGATGGCCCAAATTGTTTGTATTATATCACTACTATGATTTCATTTATGACAGTAGTGCCCAGAGACCCTGATGGTGCCCCATTGTGCTAGGCTCTAGTATTCTGTATATCAGGGGTTGTCAACTGGGAATACATGTACCCCCGGGGGTACTTGAGAAGGCCCTAGGGTGTATACGCAGGCAGGCATGGATGGAGCACTGCCACATAGTATCCTGTGCTGCTGTGCAGGCTCTGCTCACCCAGCTGGATGTGAAGGGCAGGGGAAGCTTGCACGTAGCAGCTGCTGCCACTATGTATTCAGTTGCACGCCACCTGGCCCCTCCCCCTGCTTCCCGGGGGCCAAGGGTACACTGACCCAAAAAGGTTGAAAACCCCTGCTGTAGATCCATGGATTCCAAACTCACTATTTAGTATTGCTCTTCAAGAAGTTAACTGAAGAAAAAGGAGTTATTGTAGGCCTGAAAAGGATTGAACAGTCACTTCCATCATTTCAAAGTGAAAGGGCATCTGATATACATATATTGTAAAAAGAGAGGGAGGAAGGGAGAAATAGTAACAAATATTTTTAGCAGTAACTTTACTATTTTTAACAGTGAGTAAAAATTTTCACAGTAACTCAACTTGTTCTTATGTAGCTTCCTACAAGAAAATACACATCCAAGGAAAAAATAAACCAGATGAAGAGAAATTGGTTTTAACTTGCCAGTCGGAAGGATTTCCCCCGGCTGAAGTGATCTGGCATAATGAGAAGAATCAGAGTGTGTCTGCAAATACTACCTACACACTGACCACAGATGGACTATACAATGTCACCAGTATTGCAACAGTCAAGCCAGAAACAGGAGAAAACTATAGCTGCATATTCTGGAATAAAGAATTGAATGAAGTGACTTTGGCTTCTGTTTCCACGTTAGGTTTGCATCTATCTTTGAATCTCTTTGAATTTGTACATGGGGGCTTCCCCAAAAGGGTACCTGTGTGAGCATGTGACTGATTGATTCTAAAAACAGATTACATGCTTTTATAGCTACATTTTCTATATATGTAATGCATGATTGACTGTAGGAAATTGTGATGCGGCCTAATATAATACAACGCTACAATCACTAATATTGTTTCCTAGAAAGCAGTGTGGCATTTTGAAAAAAGAAAATAAGACAGACATTATATTTGCCTTTGGAAATCTGCCATTTTATTAATGTTTCTGAACTCAGTTCACTATAGACACTTTTGTCATTTCTCTTCTAAATTCTAGGATAGCTCCTGTTTGCCCAGTTGCCAGTACAATGGTATTCCTCAATATAAACCTCTGATATGCTTGGTACTCTATTGCCTGGAATTGTATCTAACTAGTCTTCAGTATACAGACTGATAATTTATAATGGCACTTGCTAAATTGCCATGCATAGGATGGACCAACAGTTATTTACTGTAACGTCCCATTACAACAATATGGCAGGGGAAGATGGGCTTAAAAGTGTACATAAAAGTTTACACTGACTCACTGTAGTGACCTTATACTTTGCCAGCATGGTACAAAGAGACCTTAACACAAATGAGAATCAGGCTGGATTATTTTATAAACTATATTTGCTTATTTTTTAATAGGTCTAGTCAGTTCGGAAAATGTTGGACAAAAACCTCCAATCTTATTTATCGTCCCAACGTGTGTAATAGCAGTTATTTTCCTATCTGCAATCTTGATTTTTTGGAGGAAAAAAACATTTACAAAGTTTCATGGGAAAAAAGGTACATTTTGACTTTTTTAAACACATTTTCTCTCTTCCACTTTGCACTTAAGTGACCTTTCAGAATCTAGATGATCTCTAATCTGAAAGAGACAGATTGCTTCATTTGTGTTTGCCTTTATTTTCCTCATCACAAAGCACAGGAATGATCCAAATTATATGAATACAATTATACTATATGCCACACAGGTTCCAGATCCAGATTATATGAATACAATTATGCTATATGCCCTCACTATTTGCAGGTTCAGCATTTGTGGTTTCAAATATTCATGAATGCTGAACCCACTTCTTAAATACACTTAAAGGAGCTCCATGCTTGCCCCCATGCCCCCGCAGGCACTGAGATCAAGAACTCAGATGGCGTTCATGAACAAAGTGCCTTATTCACAGATTTTGCCATTCGTGGGGGATACGAGAACATATACGAGGGGGTAAAAAGCACCCTATTCAAATTTGCTGATGACACTAAGATATGGGGGGACGTGGGCACACTAGAAAGAAGCAACAGGCTACAATCAGACCTAGACAGGTTACAAGGGTGGGAGGATGAGAATAGGATGGGATTCAACACAGA